GTTAGGAAGAGAAATCAGGCCTCTCCAAAGTGCATTGGCTTTCATAGGAATGGGCGACGGTGGCAATTTTTAAAAAGCACTCTGTGCATGCTCAGAGCCCCTACTCGATCCCACGAGGAAGCCTTCCATCCTACCCCCCATCCCCAGATGGAGGAAAGGACCAAACTCAGGCGTCCATGAATCCACCCCCCCCCGCTCCCAAAACCACCCAGTTCCTGGGGCACTGCTGCCCTCCGCTGGCTGACAGGAGAACTCCGTCACAAAACCTTTAACCCAGGGTGAGTCAGATGCTCACCTACCTTTTTGGGACAGGCGAGAGAAAATTAAAGGTGAGGAGGGGGAAAAAAGACGAAATAGCAGGGCCCTGCTTCTAGGCATCAAAATCCACTTCTGCTACAAAGGGTGGACAAGATCCATGTTGGATGGCCACCAGCCCTTTGCACACAATTCTGTCCCTCCAGCTTCTGCCTAGAGGAAGCCACCACGTCCCACAGATCCAAGCTCTGCAGGGTAATTGGATTTACTCAGAACCACAGGATGGAGGCTCAAACTCGTAAGACTATGCATGGAGCAGGCATTTCTTAAATTGCACCTGGGGGAAGAACAAAACCAAGAGCAAGCCAGGTGGGTGCCCAAGGGACTACCTGCCACAAGACAAACCCACTAAGATTACTGAAATTGGAGGAACATGATTTAAGAATGGGTTGGCATGCATATGTGTGGTATGGGAAATACAAGGAGCAATCACACTTTATGGAACACATTGTGAGAAAGGCACTATGCCTAGTGTGGCAAACATTTTAAACACAAACTTATAAGAAAATCCCAAGCATTTACTCTGGAAGTGTTGAATCAGAAAGGAGTGCTACTAACATATAAAGAATTACTTAACAAAGAACAAAACATAAAAAAATAAGCAAGAGCTAGAGGAACTAGGGGTAGCAACAGATTGATGGTCAATGAACAAATTAGAAACGAGATACAAAAAAAGATAAAATTGTGGGCTTCTTTGAGGGTGATTTAAACTTGAAATAGCACTATTAAATATTGTCAGAAATTACTGATAAGAAAATCAATTGTTTAATGTACAGTATATACTTGTAGCTGCTAGGTTACTCTAGACCCAAAAATGGAAAAAGTGAAGAAATAAATACCTACGATGGAGTTCCTAAAGAAACTGTTGGCCATCGCAGAATTAGATACACTTTCAGAAGCACTACGAGAACAACCAAGAGACTATGCAAAACAAAGTTGGAACTTAATATATGTTTGAGCTCAGGAAAAGACAAAAGTTTAGGGCAAAATGTTTTATGTATTACTTTTTTCAAGGCTCACCGGAAACCTGGGGGAATCTGCGATCCAAAGGAGGTTGGAATCTCTGTCCTCTCAAGGGGGGGAGGGTGGGCTTATTCTGGGTTGTTTTTTCTATTATTTTGTATTTTGTTGCAGTTTCTTTGAATGATAGATGTTTTGTATGCATAGGTTTAAATAAACTTCCAAAAGCCTTTACCCGCCAGCTGTGCTGGCCGGGATCTCTGGGAGTTGCAGTCCAAGATCAAGGGTGGGGGGAGAAGCTTGGGAACCAACTGTACTAGAATGACAGTATACGGTTGGTTGGTGGGTCGCCTTTGGCCCCTAATGGAGACATCTCATCAACAACTGTACAGTACTTCATTCTCTGACACTCAAGGGGTCGGTCTTCCCTTGCCTAGAGCAGTGGTCCCCAACCTGGGCCTCCAGATGGACTACAACTCCCAGAACTCTTCACTTCCACCTCTGTTGGCCAGGATTTCTGGGAGCTGAAGCCCAAGAACATCTGGAGGCCCAAAGTTGGGAACCACTGGCCGAGACATCACCTCTCCCACAACTGAAATTAGGGAGGCCACCTGAGACTCCTCACCTCCACTCGCAGCACAAGGCTCTTCAAGGATGAATTAAAAGTATTTTCAACTTGCCCACCCCTTCTCCCTAAAAGGACCCGAGGCCAGCCACCACATCTGGGCTCCCACTGACTTGTTCCTCTTCCAAGAAGCCTCTTCTGCCAGGACAATCCTGGATCATCCCTGGGCCAGCGACACAAGAGAAGCCCGTCTCAAAATGCTTCACCTTCCCGGGACACCCTGTTGTGGGTCTCAAAAGTAGATATTGTGGAAAAAGGGGACTAGAAAAGGAGACTCGAGAGAGACGAAGCAGGCGTCAGCTACATAAACAAGTTTCAGTGCATCTTTTAAGAGCAGAGATCAGGGCTCTTCAACACAGTGCATATATTAACAGCCCAGCTCTTTGCAATACTTTATGGAGAATACGGAAGTTTCTCCTGGTTTCCTCCAACCTCTGACCCAGAAATAACTCTTGTGACAGTCAAGTCTGCCTGGGATGCAGCTCCCCACTCCTCTCCCTGTGCATGCCCCCCCCCCAAAATTTGGGCATGCAATTTTAAGTAATTGACATCTTGACCGTCCAAAGATGCACGGTGTGTCATGTGATGTGAGCAGTCGTGGATTCCAATCCAGGAAAAATCTGAATAAACTGTCACAAATTCCAGAGTGTCTCTGAAGGATCAAACAATGATTGGGGCTTTTGGATCCGCTAGACGCAAACATATCAGCACTTTCTTTGAAAAATCTCATGTATGGCCAAAGTTATTGATTCTGGTCACAGACATAACAAGCTACTTCCCGGTCTTTGCGCTTCAGGTGGCTTCTGCTTACCTGACTGGTTGCTACCTTTCCCTATTCTGGGTCACTGTGTTGAAATTAAGATGTGATGAGACTTTGGCTTTTGTGATACAAGCACACAGGTAGGAACGTGACTGGGGAGTCGACCTGGGTTGAAATGAAGCCCACTGCTCTGTCTCGGGCTAAAGCGCTCCCATTTCTTTCCATGATCCAGCAGAAAACATCTTGGCTCAGCCAAGCTGTGGCAATTAAAAAAAAAAAAAAAACAGAGGGAGGGGAGCAAACGTTTTCCCTCCCCGTCTTCCCCAAAAGGGGAGCATGCATGTGAAGGAAAAAGTGAGAGAAAGCAGACAACATGGATGGGCGGCGGGGGCGGGATGAGGGACCCTCTGGAAAAAGCAGCTTTTATTAAATCAACATATTCCAAAAGCAATTATTATTCCAGGGAAAGTGGAAGTGGGACACAGATTAGTCAGAAGTCAACTAAACTGGGCAGATCCTGGGGGTAGGTGGAGGCGCTGAAGCAGCAAACAGACAAGATTGTGCTGACACAGAAAGAGACAGCCGTGTACACAGGGGGAGCTGCTCACCTTCCTTCCCAACAGGGCCCTGGCTATCCCTCCACCTTTTAAGCCCTCACTCTACACCTCCCCACTCACAAACAAGGACAGCTGGAGCTGATGGGGTAGAAATACACATCTCGAGTTGAGACTGCTCAGTTCAATCAATACCCTCCTCCCTATGGGCCCTCAGCACCCAAGGCTCAAGGAGCAGGGAAAGGAAATCCTCCCCTCTCTCCTCTCCATATATCTCCTCTACAGAGATTATGACAACAGGTTTGGAGGGTCTGACATAGCTTCTTTGACACCCCCTCTCCACACACATTAAATCCTCATCTGGAGGGCTGGTGCATTCACAACCCCAAAGACAGAGAGAGGCCCACCTGCACCTCCCAGACACCTTATTAACTCCTTCCCTCCCCCAACTCCACACCTGCTTGCATAGACGAGGGACACCCCAGATCAAAAGTGCAGCTAAACCAGAAGAGGGTGGGGAGGAGCAAGGGGTCTCCTTTTTCCTTGGAGGAAAGGGGAGGAATGAGCTCTAGGAAACCATGATTGAGGTAAAAACACAGCCCATTCCCTACGGGGCAGCTCCGACATTAACTAAAACCGTTTTCTTAAAAGTCTGTTTTGGGAACAAAAAAAGGGATGAGGAACTGGGGCGCCCCCCACCCTTGGAAGGAAAGAGAGGGACATCTCTGGTGCCGTTCTGGCCCACTTGGACGGAGGGGGCACAGACAGCGCGCCCGACGACGTTCGGCAAGCAACGGAAAACAACCACCTGGCTACTTGTTTCTCGTGGATTGAAAAGGGGGGGGGAGGAAAGAACTGAAGCTAAAACGAGGAGACTCCCACCCACCCACCCACCCTGAAAGCACCAAGGGGACGGGGGAGCCCCCACGACCCTCTGACAAAGGAAAGGCAGATGCCTGACACTGAGTACCTGGTCGTGAAACCTGATTCAGAGCAGAGTCCAAGTCAGCAGCCTCTTCGCCACCACGGGGCAGGGGGAGCGAAGACCTCCTT